GGATTTGGGATGATCCAGCCCCTCCTTGTCCTGTTCCCGGGGATCCCAGAGCTGCCTCCGGGATTTGGGATGATCCAGCCCCTCCGTGTCCCGTTCCCAGGGATCCCAGAGCTGCCTCCAGGATTTGGGATCTGCCAGCACAGGGAAGGGCTGGCGGGAGGCCGGAGGTGTCCGGAGGTGCCGGGAGGGGAGCTGAGGGCACGTTTTTGGGGTTTTCCAGGACGACTGCGAGAAGCTGGCCGCCTTCCTGGAGAGCGCCTTCCACAAGCACCGCTCCCCGCTGCTGTGAGCCCGCGGGACAACACCCGAACCCTCCCCATCCCGGGGGGAGGGATTGCGCTGGACTGGGGGTCCCGGGGGGGCTCCCGGGCCACCTCCCTGCAGCGGGACTGAGCCCCCGGCCCCGCCCGAGCCGCGCTCGGCGAAACGCCGGGAATTCCATCCCGGGACGTCGGGAAGGAGCCGCGTCCTCCCGGAGCGGCGGCCGAGGGAGGTGTGGGGGCCGCGGGCAGCACCCGCTGCAGCCCCTTCCCGGCGGGACCTGCGGGAAGAACCCCCCGAACGGATCCGTTTTCCCTCCGGGAACGATCGGCTTTTCCCCTCCCAAAGCTGTTTTTCCCCCCGCTTCGCCAGCCGGTGGAATTTGCCGAGGAGAGGAGAGAGGAGAGGGCTTGGAAAGCTCCCGGGGCGGCTTCCCCGTCTCTGCCACACCCCACTCCCGATCCCGAATTTCCGCTGGTTTGAGGTTTCCGCGGTGCTCGGAAGCCTCGGTGTGAGCTGGGAGGGGGCTCGAGAGGCAATTCCAGAAATCCCGATCCCGTGGATCAGCTGGAACCTCCGCAGAACCCTCGTCGTTCCCCTCAGAGGTTCCAAAATCCCTCGGCCGCCCCGGGGGGGGGGAAAAGCCCCCGATGCCTCTTCCTGCCCTTTCTCCTGCGGTGTCGTGGAATGTCGGTCCCTGGCCCGGGGAAATGGGAATTGCTGCCCTCACCCCCCCAGCGCTGCCCTTGGCAGGGGGGTTTGTTCGGGGAAAAGTGCAAAAGAGGAATTGTTTGTGTCCAGGAGCCCTGTGGGGCTGTGGGGACAGTGTTCTGTGCCAGGGAAAACCGGCCTTGGAATCCTGCTCTGTGCTGTGCCAGGGAAAACCAGCTCTGGAATCCTGCTCTGTGCTGTGCCAGTGCTGCTCCTGCTGCTCCTGCTGTGCCGGAGGAATCCAGCTCTGGAATCCTGCTCTGTGCTGGTGCTGCTCCTGTCGTGCCAGGGAAAACCAGCCCTGGCATCCTGCTCTGTGCCAGTGTTCCGTGCCAGTGCTGCTCATCTGCTCCTGCTGTGCCAGGGGAAAACTGTCCCTGGCATGAGCTCTGCTCTGTGCCAGCGTTCTGTGCCGGTGCTGCTCCTGCTGCTCCCTCTGTGCCAGGGGAAACCAGCCGTGCCATCCTGCTCTGTGCTGTGCCAGTGCTGCTCATCTGCTCCTGCTGTGCCAGGGAAAACCAGCTCTGGAATCCTGCTCTGTGCTGTGCCAGTGCTGCTCCTGCTGCTCCTGCTGTGCCGGAGGAATCCAGCTCTGGAATCCTGCTCTGTGCTGGTGCTGCTCCTGTCGTGCCAGGGAAAACCAGCCCTGGCATCCTGCTCTGTGCCAGTGTTCCGTGCCAGTGCTGCTCATCTGCTCCT